CCTAAACAAACCAGCAGCTGCCAGGCAGCCATTAATATTTTTCAACTATTTGCATAAATTAATGTGCGCACAAAATGTTGCCCAAAATATGCTTGCAATAGTGCCAACAACTTATGGGTGTCGGTGTGGGCACAACGTACACACCAGTTGGTGGCGAAGGGGAATGCGTCCTGTGGGTGTGCCACACCATGTGGGTCAGTGTTGGTGGATTTTGGCTGACTGAGCGCGTTCTAATAGCGCTTTAAAGCGCCTCAATTTGAATTTTAGTTAAGCATGCACAAACTTTATCCCTTATGAATTTCAATTGCAATTGCACATCAGCCTCGAGCACATATTACTTCGGGAAAGTTTATCCAACATATTTTAATACCACATGAACATATTTTGTGTACCAAAAAGTGGGTGGCGTTAATTTGCAATTAGTTACAGGCAGCACACACTAAAGGTGAGGCGGGCTCCATGTCAGCTGTTACGGCTTTTACCTGTTAAGCCAAACCCATCTCCACCTTTCCTCGTTCCTAAAGTGACCTGCACTGTAAATTCACAATACGAGTCGGCTGCCATGATGAAAAGTTTTGGCTAACTCTTTGGCCATTCCTGAGCGAGTGCATAGAATTTGTAATTTAACAAAAAAAAGTTTGATAGAACCAAAATATTTAATTAAATTAAACAATTACATTAACACTCTTTGATTAAGCCTTAACAATTTTAAATTATTAAATTTTTATATATATTCGTTTCAACTTAATTTATTTCATAATTTTAAAACATTGTTTAACTATTTTTAAGTTTTATATGTGTTTTCATTATTTTTCAAGCATGCTTAAATATCCTTTTTTCAATTTAATAAACTTGCTTTATATATATATAAAACATTTCTCAAAACATTTTTTAAAGTACATTAAAAGTCTAACACGAATTGAATTACGTAGAAAATAACTGTTCTTAATAGAACTTAAATACTTTAGATTTGTAATGTAAGAATTCAATTAACACCCCGCTGACACCCACAACGGTATATGTGGTATGCTATATGTGTGTGGGTGTGTGTGGCTGCATGTATGTGTGCTTGAAAATGAGTTGACTGGTAATTGAGTTTTTAGTAGTAGCTGTTAGCGGTGCAACACCAGCTCTTTGCGCCACTTAGTGGCAGAGATGCGCACATACACTCAAACACATACACTCTCTAATTTATATGCAAGTGTGTATGTGTGTTGTTAGACCAGCATCACCAGCAGCCCTAACAGCAGCTGCATTCTAGCGAAAATTAACTGCATACATACACACGTGACTGCACACACACACACACACACACACACACACACACACTCAAACACACGTACGTAGGCAAAAATCAGACATGTAGCAGAGGCGAGAGCAGCAGGAAAATGCAAGTTAAAGTTTCCTCAGAGGCGCAACCAAATCAAATTTGCACCAAAACCAAAGGTAAACTTTGAACGGTAGTGGCCATTTGTTCGGCACATACATACATACACATATATATGCAAATGTAGTATCTGTGTGTGGTTGTGTGCACAGTAACACACTCATGCAAATTCTCACGTCGCTTATTTGGTAATTTACGCGAGTGCGAAAATGCGTTGCATGTTGGGCTAACAGGGCGTATGTCTATATGTACATACATATACATAGAGACATATGTGTGTTCGTATTCATTGGACTCGTCTAAAGTTCATAAACTTGTACATACACATGTAGAGATACACACTGCATTAATTAAGTTATCAAGACATTTTTGGCTTAAAGATTGCGGCCAACTCAACTGCAGTTTGCGTCCACCATAATAAATTCGCATAATAAATGGCCAACGTTTAACTGTGTCAACAGCAGACTCTCTACAATGTGAGGTGTGTGTGTGTGTGTGATACACCATTTCCATCCGCAAATTTGGCATGCAAAACTGCAAAAAGAAAGAAAGAAAAAATATATGAAGCGGCAGCGGCAGCAGGCTTCACCTGCACGTAAAATGTTAAACAGCAGGCTAATGTCCAAAGAGATGCAGAAAAGTGGCCAAAATGCGCCACAGGCCAAAGGACCCAGGCAGCCTTGGACGTCAGCAGCAGCAACAGCAGCAACTGAGTATAACAAAAATTATGCTAAATAGGTAAAGCAGCTTTCACGAAACTGAAACTCAACAGCGAGCACTAAATTATGGTTGGGTAGTTGGGTGGTTGGGCAGTTGGGTGTTTAGATGAAGGGAGGTTGGCCAACTAAACAGCAATGTCAATGCGGGTCAGCAGCAGCAATAGCAACTGTTTGTTGCCAACAAACTGAAGTACTCACTGCAGCGGTTCATGAACTAGTTGAAAACTTTGATAGACACTGAATGATCTGGCAACGTTCAAATGCAGGAAAATTTAATCGACCTGCTGCAAATTATTCAAAAACAGAGCAAAACGTAAACTTTACTTGCGTTATAATTAAAAGACAACACACAGTCTGCCACAGCGCAACTCTCAACTAAACTAGTTTAAAGCATACATCGTTTAAAGCCATCGTTAGGTTCGGCACAAATCCTCACAAATGTTGGCTGTTTGTTGGAGTCCTGCTATGCTTTGTGCTATGTGATATCTATGTCAGAGAATGATGATATAAAGGGAGGGGCGTTAAAGTTCCCCCTGTGGGTATTTGTCAACAGTTGCCAACGACGTCGACCGCGGCAATTGTGACAGCAAATAGAATCTTATCTGCGGCACACGCGTTTAACGGCCATTGCCAGGGCCCATTGGACAGAAATGGCATCCAACTTAGCCAAATGCTAAGCCCAGTCGACGATAGTCGCAGTAGCAGCAAATTCACATGAAAAATGTTCGCAAATACCTTTTCGCCTTTGGCTCAAAAGCTGCTGACTGTTAGCACGCTCGCTTGGCTCGGCCGACTGGTCGGGGATCCTTGCTTTGCATTTGGTTTTGTTTGCTATCTATGTATGTATGTATGTGTGTAGTTATGCACGTTTTTATGCATATGTGTGAGCAGCTCGTCCAGCCTGTGTATGTGGCAAAGAGGAAGCAGCTCTTCAAGCAGGCATCCTTTCTACCCACACCCGCATCCGCACCTGTCTTTCATTTTATCTTGCTTTGTGTGTGTGTGTGTGTGTGTGTGTGCTCATGTTTAATAGACACCTCTTGCCGAAGGGAGACTGGTTCCTGCTGCCTCCGTGGGCACGCAGTTGGAGTATGTACTGTATGTTACAGGGAAACTAACTGCCGCTGGGCCAAGTGTAGCATATTTTTTACTGCAAAGTGATGTTGCTGTCCTCGTTGCTGTTGTCGGTTGTAGATTGTGGGTTGTAGTTTCTTCATTGTTGTCGGTTGCTTCAAATTTCAAATTTTAAATGCAATTTAATGTAGATTTAACTCAACTTGGGCGTCGCTAATGTACCAAAATTGCCCAGCTTCTCATACGTTATGATAAGTCCAGCCATTCCCTTAATTAACATGACTAATGCACTAGCTGAGTCAGAGCAAAAACAAAAACAAAAAAATTAAGATATATAGAAAAAGGCTAAACTTACCGTTAACTAATGATCTAGTTGCTAATCAGCGGACATGTCACAGTGTCTACGCCCACAAGCGCTGAGCTAAAACTAATTTAGAGAACACAAAACACACCACACCACACACACTACACACACACGCACAACAAAGCACACTCAGCAGATAATGCTGAAGAGAAATTGTGCTAGTCATAACTCAGGACTCGTCAGGACGCGGACTATTTGAGCGCAGCGCGTGTCTGCATTATGGTCATCATTCAGAGGCGTCATCGCACACCATAGCTAAGAGCATGAGTATAATCATAAAAATGCTGGGATACCTAATCCTTTCACACACACACACACACACACACACAGACACTTTTGCACACAGCCACTAACTCTAACCAAGAAAACGCATTTAACCATGAAAGGATACGACGACTTTTTTGTTGTTGCTGCTGTTTGCTGAATACGTAAAAAGGATTTTGCGCACCTTTCAAAATCCCTTTCGTTTTTTACAGTTTTTTTTTTTACTAGCTGGAATGAATGCATGAATGCATGATGATTGAATGAATGAATGTACCAGGGCCAAGGCCCACACCCAAAACAAAAAGAAGAAAAAAACGTATAAACTGAGAAACTTTGTATGTGTAAGGGTCACCGTACTAATCAGCTAGTCCTGGACATTTTCTAGCCCTTCTGGGTCTCACTTGTTTTGATTATAAATTGAAAACTTTGCTGTTGTGCAAATTTTCTAGCAAAATCAAAGTGTTTGCAAGGAATTTTCTAATTTTTTTTACATTTCTCCTGCTTCCTCCTCCACTTCCACCTCCTGGTGCTGTGTACCCTTTTATGGGATTTCCATATGTCGCAACCCGGGCAGGCGGTCAAGCGCAAAGGCCGTTCGCCCAAGTGGAAGTGGCAGTCGCTGGCCTTTTAAGAGGTGAGACGGAAAGGGGGGACAGCGAGACATAAAGGATATGCTTGTTAGTAACCAAATTTGCAACAATGACAACCAAACACACAATAACACAGACGCACAACGGGGCCAAAGAAATAGTTTTTGACACTTTCAAGTAATTTGTGAGCTGCACAGACAGATAACGGGTAATCTATTTTTGTCAACTTTTGCATTTAAAATAGTCATGTTATTTGAAATGTGTAGCTATTTTTTATTTTTATTTATTTATTTATTTTTTTAATAAGCAATTCATTTCAAAATATGCATTGTTAAAAAAAAAGGATTATCTCCTGACAGAATTTGTAATTTTCAATATTTAGTAATAGTATTTGCATATTTAAATATTTATCTTTTTTTACACTTTACCAAAAATGCATTAAATTTGTTATCAACGAAACAAAAATGCTTTTTATTAAGTTTAAATCGTAAAACATTTTAAGTAGAATAATTGTAGACAACAAATGTGTGACAGCACTAATAATTAAATTGTACAACACTGGCCGTGCATCGAATTAAGTGCGGCTAACTTCACACAGCTTTCAAGAATTTTTGCAATTCAACGTGCTACTGACTGTGGTAAATAAAACTTTCGAGCATGTCGATCTCAAACTATAAAATGCATACCAAGGTGCGTTTACAACCGCTGGTACTGTTCCAAATTATCTCCGCCTACGAGCATCGACCCAAATTGGCCGAAGTGGCTGTGGGTACGTTGTTGGGTCTCCGCGACAGGAGTAATGACACTATTGAGATAACAAATAGCTACATGGTGATACACAAGACGCAGCAGATTGGCGAGATGGAGCAGGTCAAGCTGGACAAACAGTATGCAAGCGAGATGTACGAGCTGAACCAGATCAACAACCCGCAGGAGAAAATCGTTGGCTGGTACAACACAGCCAAATCACTATCCCGTTCCTCAGCCGCTTTGCACGCCTATTATGCCCGCGAGTGCGCGGATGCACAGCCACTGCATTTGCTGGTGGACCTCAAGCTGCGCGGTGGCAGGCTCAATACGCGTCTCTATTGCGGCGTACCGATTGGGGTGCCAGGTGGCACCAAAGGTCTGATGTTCACACTGCTGCCGCTGTTGAAGATGGGCACGGAGATTGATGATTCAGTAGCGCTGCGTGTAATGCAGAACTACGCTTTGAATCCGGCTAAGCAGCCCGGCCGCATTCTTCCCGAACTGATGTCTGTTCTTGAGATCACACTCGCGCTGGAAGAGAAGCTGGATCTGTTGTTGCGCTACATCAAGGATGTGCTTGCTCGTAAGCGTCTGCCGGATAAGCGTGTAGGACGTGCTCTATACGAGGCACTGACTTCGGTGCCGATGATGGATGCTGAGTCATTTCGCCTCATGTTCAATACCAATGTTCGGGATATACTTTTGAGCATTACACTCTCCACCATGATCAAGACCCAGCTGGAGCTGAGCGAGAAACTATCCCATCTGCCCAATCACTAAAAGTGAATTGTGCAATTTGTAAGACGATTCATAATAAATTATTATCAACGGAGAGACTTACAGAATCATATTTAACTACATTAATTTTTGTTAAATGTTAATGTTATCTCAAATTATTTGGAGATATTTTATTTTACTCAGTATCTATTTTACTGATGACAACCATTTTTCTTTACTATATCTTCCCAGTTTTCCAAAGGCGTCAAAAAATTATTGCATTGAATACATTTTGTTTACATTATTCCGAACTTAAAGCACAAAGGATATATTGTCTTGTATATATTTTCAAAAGACAGATAACTGATAAAAATAATATTTGCGTATACATGCATATATACGATTTATATCATATATTTCATATATGCATTATTTACCTAGCATATATGCAATTTTTAAAGTAAACCATAAACCTAACCCGTCCAATCCCTGATATTACTTATACATATTTGTTTATCTGAGAATAAAGCCTTTGCGTTATAGTTGTCAACGCTGCCTACCATAAATATATTACAGAAGTGATAATGGCAGCGATTGCATAATGGATTAAGTGCCACGGCTCTGGTTGGGAATTGCCAATGCCGATGGCGACGGCGATGGTAATATCGATGCCGCTGCCATTGCCCGTTGACATTTGCTGTTTGTCGTTATATTTAAGCCATTATCAATGTGAATGCGAGCGTAACCACGAATGCCACATGACATACAAGGCTGCATGTGCTGTGTTTGCACATTTACTTTATTTAAAGCAATTTATTAACTTTTTAAAACTCTGCTGTGGCCATGATGCTTTTGCTACTGTAAGCTATTTATTAAAACTGCAATTTTATGAAATTAAATTCGATTGAAATGTATGCCAAATCAAAATACAATCCAGACGCAAACCCGCAGCCAAAAGGTTAAGCTCCAAATGCAAATTCACAAGAGAAGTGCACGCGCCATTTTGACAAATGATGGCAATCAAAAAGTTGCATGCTAGAGCTGCATATTGCGCCAACTTGCAGCTTGCCAAGTGGAATTGTGGCACAACTCACGTAACCTGGCTGGCTGGCTAAGACATGGCAACTTTTTGCTAATTAATGTCACAAATGTTATATATTAAAACGCTTCACCCAAGTTTATGGCACGTGCTTAATCCAATGCACGATTGGGCATCACAACTTAGGACAATTGAACGTTGGCTAGAACTCCCCCCGTAGCTCAGAAACGTGTTTGGATTTTGTGCGCAAATCAATGCGACAATGTGAGCTTTGAGCAGCTCTTAATGCTTATCACATCTCCACCAACTCTGACCACCCACGCAGTTTATTGTAGCCAAACAAACTTGAAAAACTACGAATAAAGGTTCGGCATCTCACCGACAATATGTGTTGAAGTGTGTGCGCTTTTGTGGCCACAGTTTAGGTGTCAGTTGCAGGCCAAGCGGCGGAATACAATATTACGAGTGCGACCGAAGCCAAAACCAGAAAATAGAGCCTGCCAGGCTGCATTTTGGCCGTGTTGCCAAGCCAACTCAGCAATTGCCAAAGACGCCCACAGCATATCCACTCACAATCACATTTCGCAACCATAAAATATTCACACATATGCCACAGACACACACACAAAACCCAACAAAAAAAAAAAAAGTAAACTGAGAAAAATAAAGTAAAAATGATAGATATTCTAACAGACATGCTCCGTGTGCCGCGCAAAACAATAATAAGGTTTCAAAGCCAACAAACAAAAAAGTATAAAAATAGCAACACAAATGTTTGTATGGGAAAAAACAAACAACAACACAAATTACAGTTTCCAAAATTGAAATACTCTTGCAAATTTATGAAAGTTTAAGTTATCCTTTTAAAAAACTAATAGTTACATTTAGTAGTTACATTTTGAAAAGTATTTGATCAAATGATTGAGTTTGACTGAAGATTTATTTCAAAAATTAAACGATAAAATAAATATAACTATTTTATCCGATTGAGAGCTATACCAAATAATACCTGTATCTGTAAAACGATTGATTTTCATAGTTTTAAAAAGAATAGAACGTAGATCGCATGCTCATTCAATCTTTGGAGATTTTGATTTGAATGCGTTACATACAAGATGAGAAAATCATACGTCCCTTCAACAGGCAATAAATATGATGTGTAATAACCAACACATACCCTTGTATACATATTGGAATAATAGACAGCTACATGTAGGTGAGTAAAGAGGAAACGAGCTTAAAAGTTGCAGAGGCAAAATAAAGATTGGCATAGATATGCACGTGATTGGAATGTAAGTGGCTCCTACGGCGCCAAGGAAACCAAAGAAAGGAAAGAAATCTTTTCCAAAAACAATATATGTCATACACGACACACTGTTGACTGGGCACACACACACACACACACACACACACACACACTCATAGAGACACAGACACAGACACATACACACAGCGAAATGGCCAACGAATTGAGTGGCAGTGGCAAAACGGAAAATGAAATGCACATTAGCACAGAGAGGCAGAGACCCAAAAGGCACCAAAAATGCCAGCGGCATAAGTTGAGGAAGCAATAGGAAGGAAATTGTTACGTAGGCCAAAAACGCAGAAAAACGAGCAGCAATAGCGACACCAAGTTGCCACAAAGAAAGCGCACAAATCGAAATAAATAAATAAAATCAAATGTTCTGTGGAAAAACTTTGGCTTTGCCGAGCTAACTTCGGTAAAAGTGTGCGGAGTCTCTCCAACTCCTCCCCCTGTTCCAGCCCGCACACCCTAGCACAAAGCTCTGAAATTACCTCTTATGAGCGTCTGGAGGTTACGCTTTAGGGAGCGACCGAAGCGCATCGCCCCAACCCATCCTAGCACGGCGTATATGTAACGCCAGCGTAACGGAAACGGAAACAAAGCGATAAACTTTTGTTAGTGTAGCTAGCGCCAATCCACACTCGAGGCCCACGAGAGCGTAAAAGTGCGAAAGTGCGCGCACCATTGCGACCAAGTAGCAGCAGCAGTAGCAGTGGTGGCAGTCCTAGAAGCTATTTCTTTTCAAGTTCTGTTGCCTTTGGCCTCGTCGTCTAAGACACAAGCAAGAACTGCTTTCAAACGGAAACAGCGCAGCATCAGTACCAGCAATAACAAGAACAACATCAGCATCACCAGCAGCGTGTAAATGTCGGCTAACACTTGGCTGCTTTTCCTAGCTCTAGTAAAGAAAATAGCAAGCAAGTTTCTGTTGCGAGTGCTCGACTAACTAATGCCATGTAACAAAATCTAAAATAGAGTACAAATATAACAAACATATAGTGTTTCATAGGAATAACATTGTGTTTCTTTTAGTGCTTCCCTATACATTTGAGGCATACAGGGTATAAAATAATGGGATAGAATCATACTCAACAGCTTTACTGAGACTCAATTGAACTGCGAGTAGCATGGCGTGGTGTGCGATGGGAGATGGGGGGCACCACTTACAGACTATGGCACACTGGCTGCCAATGTGTAAATTACGGCAGTATTTGTACTGGCTGTGATTTTTGCCCTTTTAAAGCATCAGCGACAGAGACTTCGATTAAAAGTATTTGTCCAAATAAAATTCTAATGCAATTTACTTTAATTTCCAACCGCAAACGAAGACTGATTGAGTACAAGTCCAAGAAAATCCAATAAAATAAAACTCGCTGCAAAATCAATGCCTAACAAGCAAAAACAAACCGAAATAAGTTCAAGGGAGTCAAAATCTTAATTTTCCACAACCGAAACGTGACACATTTTCGCTGGCCAAAAGCAGCCACCGCATGGACAAAACTGTTTTCAACTTTATGAAGGAGTGTTTGTGTGTGTGTGTTCTTGAGTGGCTCAATTGGTTGCTGCTTGTTTTGCTTTTGTCAGCCTGAAAACCAATTTCTTTTGTATTTTCATCACACGCAACATGGAAATTGTTTGGCTTGTTTTTGTTAGCAGGTAACTTAAGTGGACTTTCGTCTGAATATCTTTAACAGACGACATCAAATTTGTTATTGTGTTAAGTTTCAGCTTATATCTCTGTCTGAGTCAATTGGCATTTCATATTTTTCAATATCCAATGTTATTTTCTTAAAAATAAATATAAAATTATTTAACTGCAATTCATACCGAATTGAAAAGCATAAATAGAGCAGTTTAAGGAAATAGTAGGTAATTTTAAATTTTAAAATATTTATATATTTTAATATTAGATATTCAAAAACCACCAGAATGTCGAATTTTCTTGTAGATAATCGACCTATACCACACCATACTTATAAAGGTGCAAACACAACCGTTCGGCCTACCTTTGCCTATCGCCGTGTGGCTTTTGGGCTAAACAAAACTGTCAACCACACGGCCTAAAATGTCATGTCGACTAAATACACCTTTTTCTTTTGTCATTTTCTCATTTGATTTATAGGATACGCAAAAGTATTTGTGATGTGTGTGGGGCATATAGTATACGTAAATGTCTGGCTGATTTGTTTAAACAAATGTCCAGAGTGATTGCGAATGTGTGTATGTGTTAGCCTTGCTTGTCCGTACAGCTGTCAGGTTCAATCTTGTGTTCGTTGTGCCCTTAACCCAAGCTAGAGCGACCGCACTTTCTTCTAGTGTTTGCTCTGGTTTTGTAACTTTCAATGTGTGTCTCTGTGTGTCAGTGTGTGTGTGTGTGTGTGTGTGTGTGTGTGTGTGTCGTCCACTTGTCATGTCACTCAGCGTCATTGTCATGCAGACAATGCCAGGCAGTCAGTCTTCAATCTGCTGCCTCCTGTTCCACACCCTGTTCACCTCTACGGCAACAGCTACTTTTCGGTTCTTGCATTTCATTTACATTTTCAATGTCAGGTGGAGCTGTTACATAGGTTCTTTCTCTCATCCAGCTGTAAACTTCAGATGGCAGACATTTCGTAATTTACCGTTACAAATCAATTGTCAAGTTGTGCCCATGACTGGTGACCTAGACGTTGCCCTTTTCCCTTCCCTCTTCTCGCACTGTCATCGCGTGGCAGTGCGTTGATATCCTTAGAAATGCCCAAGGAGAAGCATTGGCAGTTGCCCAAAGCGTCTCTGAAAATACTTAAACGTTATGTTGAAATATTTTACGCACAATTTATGTTAATTTGGCCACAGTTTGGCCATAAAAGCATCATGCACACACACACACACACACACACACACACCAGCCAACATATTTTTATGGCCTTCGTCGATATTTATGCGAGATTTTTTTCGCATTGGACAAAAATTGTTTAGCTGCTTATAGTATGCTATAGGTTTTTATACATAAATATGTATATGCACACATTTGCGAGTACGTGCTGTGGCAAAAGTTGTGGGGTTCAGTGCACACACACTCACACACATGCACACAGACACACACACACACACAGCATACACACACTCTCTCTGTGTGTGTGCTGACTTTGTGTTAACATTTTGACAGCAAAGGCTTAAAGTTGTCAGCGCGTTCTTTAGTTATATTATTGGTATAGTTGTTGCGGCTGTTTGTATTGTTGCTTTTGTTGTTAGCGTTTGCGCTTATTAACATATTGTTGTTTTTCACATGTCGCGCCATTGACAAGTCATTCTGTTATCACCACACACAAAAGCTTAGTAACATAACCTGAAAACAAAACCCAAAACTTTTCACCGACAAGCAAAAACCCAACACTCGCCTGTGGGATAACCTGTACTCAGCGCTTTAAAGGATAAAGTATCAAATTGGTGTTATGTTATGTTCCATAATGATATAAGTAGGATCTGCTTTAAAAATTGAAAATTGAAAAACAGATGAAGAATTTAAAAATCGAAACTCTTAACTGAGCTAATGCTATGAACTAAAAGTTCATGATTGCAAGACTATTGCAAATAATCAAATATAGTAAATAACTCGCCATGTTTTGTACTAATTATATTTCAGCAAAATTCTAAACAATAAACACATAGATGATTTCGAGTAAATTATACATGCTTAAATGTGATACTTTGATACAGACACTTTCTGTATTGCTCACATGCAGGGTATAGAAATAATTTGGTATTTATATTTGGCAATAAAAACGTTGCTGTCAGTCCGAGATTTGTGAAAGTGATATGGACTGACATTTGAACTGAGCAAAACACATACATATATAATAACATGCCCTAAATGCCATTCGGAATGATTAAAGACTAGATTAAAGACCTGTATTATGCAACATACACATATGCATGCAGAAGTGGAGTGCAACAGCAGCTGCAGCACATATTTACAAACAGATGTGAATATGCATACGATGGCTTCTTATGTGAAAATTGCCGAGCACTACACTCCAGGGGGCGGGAGTGCTTCAGAGAAGGAAGCTGAATAGAAAGCATGTTTAGTTGCAAAGACGTAGCGATGGTTGCAGGTGCCTCTTAAGCAGCACACACACTCATACATACACACACACACTCTCACTGAGAGCTGGTAGTCATGTGGCTGCTTAGTATTATTAGCATAATTACAGGCGCATTAGCGTGCTGCGGATTTGGGCTTCAGGTGACTGGGCAATTGGCTTGGCTGCCTAATTATGATAGCTTTAAAGCATGCCACAGGATGGAGATGCGAAACTCCACTTAAAAGCCATCTCACAAATTCAATAATTTCGTAGACTTTATGTACATTTCCACAGATACATACATACCACATACTTAAATCTTGTTTTCTTTTTATTTGTTGGGGCGTTATGCTATCTTTTCATTTTCATTAACATTGCATTAATTAGCTTTTTGTTTTCATTTTATTTTACAGCTTTCCTCGCTTCATGTTTACGCAAGGGTCGCTACCCGACTGCCCACATTAAACAATACGGACCCCACAAGGTCACACGGTGAGAGAGCTACGAGCTAGGAGTCAGTGTTTTTTTAGATAAGCCCCAATCTCCAACAAAATCAAACGCGCCAAAACAGAAAGTCAACAGAGCACTGAAGAGACGAGGTCTTAGAGTAGGACAAGCAGGACAACAACCATGCGTTGCCTGCGCAAGTTACATCTGTTCGGGCTGTGCCTGACGCTGGGCATCGTCGCTGTAGCGGCCTTTCCCAATAGCAACAGCAACAGCAACAAGAACACTAATAGAAAGAGCAACAGCTACACACAGCAGCAACAGTCAAAGCAGCCAATGTACACCTATTTGACCACATCGAGCACGTCCAGCCACAGGAATGACGCTCCCGCCATGCAGCCAGCCTTTGTGTACGAAGCGGCTATGCCGAAACAGGAGCAGCGGCCCACCACCGCCAGCACCACCTATCCCGCAGCAGCAAGTGCGGCTGCTTCACCGGTTGAGGCATCAAAGAAAGTCATCGGTTCCAGGTGAGTTCACAGTCTCTTCAGCTAACATTCGCGATCTCAACTTTGCAAACATTTCAACTAACCCGTGTACCCTGTATATAGCTAAAATGTTTAAGAAGAGTATCATGATATGATATTAACAGACAAAAAAAAACACCTTCATTCCATTAAGTAACAGGGCGACGTTGGACTATATGAGAGCGTTGTCTGTATCTAAAAAGCATCTTTAAAAATATCTTAAAACTATTGATTTATCAACCTTCATCTTCTTCACCAAAGAATAGCTCGGGGACCAAATTCGTAAGAATATTTAAGCTGTAGATATGACCAACACTCATACACTGACCCCTTAGAATGCAAAATTTTATGCCTAAACCAAAAGGACCTTTAGAAATCAATTATCTATAGTGCACATCCATTGTCTAAAGTGCCCAGCTGGCAGCTTATTGCCCTACCTAAGCTCGGACATTTCAGCGCTGGGTACAGGATGTGACATAGTCGGGCACTCTTGAGACGAGCTTTGTTACTTGTTTTACTTGGTATTTGTTTGCGTTGATTGTTGCTGTTGTTTTCTGTTGTTAGGGGAAAAGTCTTTTGTTTGCCCAACGTTTTTGCAATTTTTCCCACTAATTGAAATAGAATTTCCCTTTTGTTGTGGCGCGGGCAGGACTGGTGCCTGTGGATCTGGTCAGTTGGCAAATTCCTTAGTATTTTAATTAATTTGCTCACCAGGCGCCACGGCGGCCACTTGACGGAGACCCCAATAAAACACGTGGCATACCTTGCGGCGATGCGTTTAAAAATCAACAATAAAAATTAAAAAAAAAAAAAGAAACAACTTCACAATAACAAGGCTGGCACAAATTGAGTGCTCATTAACTTCAAATCAATGCTAATCAGTTGCTTTTCGTGGAGCACTTTTGTTAAATTTGGTTTCCTTTCCTCTGAAAATGGTTTGTGGTAGTCAAGTGCTGCGGAGTCGCAACCCTTAAGCAGCTGGCTCCGAAAATTTGCACAAGCACAACGAAAATTAATATTTTTGTTTTCGTTACATTCGGCCCACATTTCGCTTGCTGGGAAATCCCAAGGTTCTGCGTCGTTTTCATATTAATTCCGGCGCGTAAACAAATTCTCAGACCTTGCGGCATATGGTAGACAGTTGTCGGTTAAAGCTTGATAATGATTACGAGCAGCTGCCGCTGCAAGCATTGATAATAATGATGACAATTTTGTTGTTGAGATACTCTTGATAAGGCTGCAAGAAAAGATTTTTTTACTTCTTCAATCTGGCATGTGGTTTCACTTTATTTGCCTTGCATATATTTGAAATGATTGTAGATTCAACAGCATGATATTTTCCATTGGCAATTTCACCCGATAGCTATCTTTTCATAACCAAACATTTAAATTCGACATATTTCCATTTAAATTTTATCAATGTTTTCCATTTTACGCAGTGCAGAAGAAAACAAACAAAATTTTAAACCAATGCAAAATGCAGCAAAAAATAACATTCATCTTTAAAGACTTTTCAAAAGGGAATTTCCCACACAGATACTCAGATATAGGAGCAGCAGCAACAGCAGCAGCTGCATATGACAAAGAACGCATCTGTCACGTGCTTAAATGTTAATGATGTGCCATGTTAAATCTAGTTTGAGTGTCTGTATGCTATATACGGTACGTGTAGATATGTTAACTAACTATTACTGCTACTACAACTGGCAGATGGGGAAATGCAAATGCAATGGCAGGGCAGCTAGCGAGCATGACTATGTGACTTTCAAGCAGCGATTGCTTGGCATCCCATTTCTATTAAAATGCCTGCGAATGCGCCGCCAAGTATGCAGCATGACTTGCGTTGAGAATGAAACTTTCAAAAACTTAATCGCACTTATTTGCCATTAATCACTGTCCATCACTCGACATCATATGCTTTTCGTCCTTTTTAGATTGGCAGATATATAATTGTATTCTTTAAGAAATGACCAATATTTGCCTAAGCTATATTTCAACCAGCTGCATGAAAAAAGTGGCTTCTTATTTCCATCTATTTGATAACGAAACTTAATCTGCTCATGGTATAAGACATATGATAATATTATTGTTTCCAACTGTGCTGAATAATAGCATATATATACTTAATGGCGTCGGAGATGCTTCCTTCGGCCTGCATACAATCAACTTTAATCTACCATTTTGACCCATTTTTAATTGGTTCGGGGTAGTTTCTAGTTTCGTAATTTGAATGAAAATGCAATTAACTTGTTTGTCTACTTTCCAGTGTGATTTCGTCGGTGTCCGTTGTGCTGGATGGAAATGAACCGCAGTTTACAGATGCAGTGGGTCAGAAGGTGCCCAAGCCGCAGCCATCGCTACAGGTTGCCAGCCCCATAGATCTGCTCAATCCCGATCGCTACGAGTTCTACACCTTCGATGAGCATGGCGAGCTAATCAAGCGTCTGATGACCATGCAGGAAATCCAGAGCATTGTGGCCAATGGCGATGGCGAAGGACCCTCAATAATTCACACAGCACCGCTGGCAGATCACGAACCGGAGAAGAAAGTTCAGGATATTGTAGACAGTGTGCAGCATGTGCTCAACAAGGAGGTGGCCAGCAGCTCATCGAAAAACAGTTCCGGCGAACTGCTGCCCGTACTCGATACGCCCGATGTCTCTTCTTCCTGGTCGCTTATACTACCCGCCATCTTTGGCAATACAGGCGGTGACATCTTTCCACAGCAGAAGCCCCAGCAAATTGTTATGACTCCCGAATCGGAGCTGGTGGACACTTCTACACGTGCAGTACCAACAGCACCACCAACGCAGCGCGTGACAAAGAAGCCGAAACCAGCTAAACGTAAGCCGGGCAACAAGCGCAAGAACAATACCACAACCACCACCACTGAGATGACACCGCAGGTGGTGCAGGAGGATTTGGATCCTTTGGAATCCGTTTATACGGGCATACACCAGTATCAACAGGCGGCAGCCAATATGCATGATTTTGACATGCTCCACATGCAGCCTATTTACCAAAAGCTGCCCAGCACCACCGGCAAGCCAGAGACCACAACGCGACGCATATTCTACAACAATCAGGAGTTCATACACACACCTATTTCTTTCAGCGGCACTGCTAGCCACTCAAACACCACTGAAAAGATTATTTTGAACCAACATCTGGCCAAAAAACCAGGCAATGTGCATCGAAAACCCACCCAGCCACATCGCGTCAAGAAACCAATTAGCAATAGCGCCACCAGCAGCACCGCTCATCCATCTGGTGGAAAGCAAAAGGTAAAGACGAAGACAACCACCACCACCACCAGCACAACACCAGCACCCAGTACATCCACTACACCTATCTCAGCCACGGAGGCAACAACACCCGCACCAGACACGACAACAACCACACGAGCGCCGGTGCCAACCACGCAAAAGAAGAAGAAGCGCAAGCCCACACGCACACCTGGACACACAGGCACCAGCACAGGCAGCAACAAGCCTGGCAAACCCAAGCGCAAGCCAACCTCGAAACCGAAGCCACAGCATCAAATCGTTGAGCCAGCAGTGGCAGCCACTGCACCACAGCAGCAAGAGGTTATCACACATAAACCACCTCGTCCGCATCGTCCGCACAAGAAGCCTAAGCCCACACCAACAAAAGGCAGCACCACTTCATCCACCAGCACAGGAACTCCACCTGAGGCAACCTCAGCTGAGCCAGCAATACAACAAGATCCAGAAGCAAGTGCAGAGCAACCCATTCCATCATATACTGGACTTGCATCACAGCAAGATCCACCGGAAAGGCCCGCATATCAGCAACCATCCACCATAACAACCACACCAGAACCCAGGACGACTGCAGCACCAACAACATCCACTACAACAACAACATCTGAACCAATTAGAAGAACAACAAATGCGCCGACTACAACAACCATCAAACAAACCACTAAACGTCCACCCACTCTGCATTATCAGAAAATACAGGCAGTACCCACGCATGCCAGCGTCACCAGCAGCACAAAGCAACCAACCACAGAACACCACTATAACAAAATACACGGAAAGCCCATTCACAACGCCGCTACCACTGAAATCACCAAAGCCGAAAGCTATGGATACATAAATGCTATACCAACCAAAAGTACAACAACCACAACAACCACCACAAGCACCACAAGCACCACACACGCACCATTATATCCCGTGCCCAGTTACGATGCGCAGGCCACTGAAAATCTGCCAACAATAATCGGCACCCAGAATGAAGAAGATAACTATGAGAAGATGCACCTAAAGACGCCGCTGCCATCACTGGCGCTGTTGCAACAACAAATGCAAGAACAAGGTACATCCACATCACCACCCGTCCCTCAACTGTCAGCGGATCAGATGCACTCAGTTGATCAGATTATGCAGAGCCTAACACAGGGCCTCCTTGCCAGCGATAAGAAGGATGAAATCCAAAGTGTGGAGCCTGTTAAATACGACAGCGCGGACAGCAAAGAGCAAATGGAAATTTTGGCTAACAAAAAGAAAATAAGCGTAACCACAACTACAACCACTACTACTCCCAAGACAACAACAGAAACTCCCAAGATATCAACATCAATTCTGAATACACCTAGACCATTAACCGCTCACTATGGTGGCAGTACTTTATCCACAATGCTTGATGAGAATGAGGACACAAGCACAAATGAGGAACTACTCGACTCCACGGAGTCCACAAACTACAAGAAGGAAACAACACTGAGCAGCATGGAAGTGGAACCGGAGGAGCCAACAACTGTTGTTTTGATTACTGCAAGACCGCAATACTTTACGGCCACACATCCCGCACCAACATTACAATTAAAGAAGACAGAGAAACCTGTTGCGGAGCCAGAGACCACAGAGCTACCCTATAATGCACAATTCCTACTGACCACTCCTATGGCGACGATCGACGAAACCGAATCGGTAACAGAAACCGAGAGTGAAGCTTATGCTGAGGCAACGACAAGCAAACCCATAGATGAGGCTAATCATGTTGTCAAATTTGAGCCACTATATGCAGATGTGCCTGAGGCTGTGATTACCGAGCTAACCGAGGAGCAGCCAACCACAATTGGTTACTATGAGCAGCTGTCAGTAGTAACAGCAAACACCGAATCGCCAAATGCACGACTTCCCGTCAGTACAACTACCGCTTTCGATGATGAGGATAGCACTGAGGTGACGCCCATGATAGCTAATCTGGTTCAGCAGCTTAATCTGGAGGTACTCAAACCAACCGATCAAATCTCCATGGCCAACTTCCAGACACAAGCAGCGACTGTTGCCTCCACCCTGGTGGATGGCAGCAATACCCTGGTATCCGATGTTTTTATGAGCTCTAACGAAACGAAAGATGAGCTTCAGTTCCTTATGTCCGATGTCATCCAGCAGATCACACAGGAACAGGATCATGTACAAGAACCATCTTACAAGCCGGCCACAGGTCAGGTAGACGATTCGCATCGCCTCACCAGTTTTGCCCAGCTGAATACATCATTTTTGCTGCCGCCAAAATTGGCGAAGCCACAGCAGAAGATAACCACGACGACAACGGAAGAACAGCCGGAGGAGCAGGAAGTCACTACCATAATACCAAGCAATGAGGAGCTCAACAAATCAGAAGACGCTTACCTTAATCCACAGACGCCAGCTGCAGATCCAATCGAGAGCACCACATTCAGGGTGCCGGTTTTATCGCTCTCACAAATCTATGCACAACAGCAGCAGAACGAGGATGATGAGCAACAGCAGTTTGAACTAGAGCGACTGGAGTCCATAAAGCCAACAGAAGACGCAATCAAACAGGAAATCATCACAGAAGAAAATAAAGAGGAACAGGAGCTAGAAGAGCAACAACAAGAGACGTCATCAAGTGCAATCCCAACAGAGAGCACAACAACCACAGAGCAACTGCATCAACAGGACGGGGAGAATAACAAGGAAACTAATGCCAGCGAGGAGGCGACAACGGCGGCAAGCGTCGAGCAGCTAAACAGCTACCAGCCAGATAAGGCAAGCGAAGAGGAAATGCCCGAAATGTTGACAAACGGTTACAATGAGCAAATCCAAACGGAAGCCAGCAGAGACCAGGAGGAGGAGCAGACAACGACTAAAGCAGAAACAACAGCGACATCAACAAATGTTTACCAAGACGCAGCGGAGGAAACATCAGTTGAACAGCAACAGGAAAAAGAAACGCAGCAGAGCGCAGAAGATGCACAAAAACAAGACCAGGAGGAGGTGATGCAAAGTGTTGAGGATAGCGCCACAAATGCGGCACAGCTGCAGCCACAGTACAGCGAGCAGCCAGCGGAAGAGCAAACAGCAGCTGGAAGCGATGAACTCCTGCAGCAGGAGAAGCATAAGCAGCAACAGAAACAACCGGAGCAACAATATACAATAGCCAGCGATGAGATTGTGCCTACGGAAATACCTGGCGATATGTCCATTGTATCATCCGAATCAGATATGTCACTCAGCTCTGAGCAGGTGACCGAAAAACTTGAGCTAAGCACGGTGCCACCCATTGAGCTGGACGAAGAGGCTTTGGAGGATATATCCGAAGAGTTGACAGCAACTCTAACCGAGGAGGATACAACAAGTGCACAAAAATATGAAAGCCTCGACGATGAGGATCCCTATATAAAGCTGGGCGAGACAACAGCCACTGTGGTGAAACCGCAACAGATTGAGAAGCTGCATCAGCATCAGGAACCGGAGCAGGAATCGGCACAAGCCGAGCACAACTACAAGGTCACGCTGCCAATAGCCAGCTATGGTAATCAGCCCATTGAACAGGCGGATGAGGAAGATGAGGAGGATCAGAATAGCTATCAGCCTATGTTACTGCCCAGCAGCACAACGGAGAAAGCAACAACAACGAGTACCACCACCACAGAGCCACCTACAACAACCAAGCGACTGCATACACTAAAGCCAGTTTCCTATTATGTGCAACCTTCATTGCTCGGCGGCTACAATCAACTGGAGGCGCCACAACCACCCAAAGTGCTACCTTACAATGCGAATACCAACAGCAACATCCTGGGACAACAGCACCTACAGCAACGACCCATGCAACGACCTGCCTCGCTAACCAATCTGATGGCTACGTCCACACAAGCAACGCGACCACCAGTTAAGCTACAGCCAAGTCCTATTAGTTCACAGGGGTTGGAGGCATCCACAGAGCGTCTTGAAGAGGATGTGCTGTCTTTTGCGCGACTTTGCAATGAGTTGGCCTTTAGCTACTGGAAGGCAATTACATCGGAAAAAATTAGCTCTGCAAGAAGTCTGGTCATATCACCATTTGCTCTGACCTCTATGTTGTCTATGGTGTTCTTGGGAGCACGTGGCAGTACATCGGGTGAAATGAACGAGATACTCAAGCTGGATGATATGGTTACCTTCAATCCGCACCTGATCTTCCGTAACATCACCAGCTCCGTGGAGCAGTCAACGGAGGGCGAGATTGCAACTGCAGCATTTGTTCGAGAGATCTTTAGTGATCGAGCTAATGGTAAGATTCTGCCCTTCTTTAAGGAGAAAACACAGCAATTGTACGCAGGTCACGTTGAGGAGGTCAACTTCCATGTGGTGAACGATATTGTGAGGCGTCGCACAAATCTCTTGGTGAAGCGCCACACAATGGGCAAAGTACTGGAATATCTGCGCACGAATAGTGTTTGGGTAAATGGCCCACTGGCCACCGTGTCCGCGAATCTCTTCCAAACAGATTGCACCCGTGGCTCGACAACTGATCGCGATGGCGAGATGTTCTTCCAGGTGCATCCTACGGTGCGTCAACGTCGTTTGGTACCTATTCCAGCGGTGCTTTATCGCAGCGGATTCACGGCTGGCTATGAACCCAAGCTGGATGCCACAGTTGTGGCCTTTGGGAGCATACAGGATACGGTGAGCACAATCTACGTTATGCCCGGACATCAGAGCTCAGTGTCGCCAACGGATAATCTGGATAGGCTCGAGCGACAACTGGTTGAGATGGCATTTGGACAGGAGAATGCATGGAGCAAGCTGCTCACGGCGCTTATGGATCGGCCGGGCATGGAAGTGCAACTGCCGCGATTCTCCCATCGCTCCTTTATCAACGCCTCTCTTGGTCTGCAGAAGATGGGACTCAAGGGTCTGTTCAAGTCAGACTTTGCCGATCTGCGCGGACTTACGGGTGCCGGCAATCGCGATATCTTCTTGTCGGACATGATACAGATCAATACGTTTAGCACTTGCGGCGAGGAGAAGATTTCGGATCACCATCACGTGGAAATGTATCCGGCACCACCGTTGCGCAAACGCAACAAGGATGTGGATGCAACAGATGATGATGCTTACGATTCCTCGGAGGCGATTATCGACTTTGGTTCGCTGGTGCAGGAGTCGGCCCTTGGTCGTGGCTTCTACGACGATCTCCTGGATCCGAAGTACTTGGAGCTGCCACTGCCGTTGCGTCCGCGACAGGCACGTGTGCCAGATGCTCCCCGGCTCCGTTTCGATAAGCCGTTCCTCTATTTTGTGCGCCACAATCCAACAGGCATGATTCTCTTCATGGGGCGCTTCAATCCGCGCCTGCTGCCATGAAACACACACAACAAATCACGCACATCCAACTTTAAGTAAGCCAAAATATCGACTATATAAAGACATACATACATACATAAATTGTTAATTTCCCACTTTTTGACTCGCTACCCTCTTCGGAAAGGCGGTCGATACATTTAAATAGTGAAATGAAATGCCTGCAATTAAGTTAATTATATTTTTAATGCCAATTGCTGTGCCTTAATCCCGCGTCCTGCCACACACCCCGGCAATGATACGAGATTGACGTGCAGCAAAAGATGTAAAAGAAATATACTACAAAAATACAAATATATAAATATATTTACTATTCAGAATTATTATGCATTATCATCTATGCACGCACAAAATATCCAAATATTTTTTTTATAATATCCAGCTTGCAGTTTGCTGTCCGATTATTCTCATTGTTTTGGCTTGCACATTTTATTTCCATTACAATTTTTACGTGACGCAAACAAGGCTAACGACAACATCAACAAATAAAGTTAAGCAAATTGGCAGCGAAATGCAAATGCAATCAAAAATTGCGTCATATTTTGGCAACAGAAGCAACAAGAGCAACAATAACACCAACACAAAATGTAATTTAGTAAAATAAACCTAAACAATACACAAAACTAAAAGTTATGTATGCTATTATGTAAGCTTAATAAATCTTAATAAATATATAAATGAATAAATCAAACAAAAACAAAACTAAAAGAAAAAGCTCTGAAATATTTTAAATTGAATTTTCAGCACCATTGTCATAACCCAACAGCTTGCGGTTACTCCAAAGCATGTAACCCGAACCGGATGTGTTCATGTCTTCTATTTTTTGGCAGTGCTGTGCAGAGCCGTCCAATAAACCATTTGACAAGCTAACACGTATTTCTAGATTAGAAGGGAAACAACAACCAAACAGTTGACAACTAAAACTTGCATATCCCTTAGAAGGTAATGGTAGGACTATAAGGTAACCAAATATAACAAAATAGGAAAGTTTAGTTTTAAATAGATGTAAGTAGCTGGCAAAAATGTACATCACATTTTCAAGTCCTATATAAGGAATTAAATCGAGCTGACAATAAAAACTACCAGTGCTGGTCAGCGCTCCTACAAGATATAATGAATAAAAACACGAGAAAACTAACAAAAACAATATGCCGAACAAAACCAAAGTTTGCGAATGTTTGCAAATTCATTTGACAGGGTATGCTGTAATAAAACGAGGTATTAAGGTCAGTTAAGTTTCCAAAGCAATTTAATGTAAACAAACTTATCTAGAGAATGCAACTAAATAACTATGATCCAAGTTTGAAATTCTGACCGGGCAATAACATTTCAAAATGCTGTTTTATAGTTTCCAACTAATACCTATAGTTAGTATTAGTAATAACAATCTCAAAGAGTATTTAAGTTTTTCCATAGGCCACAAATTGCAAATCACAAAAGCCAAATGCAAAAAAGAATACAAATGTACATATTTTAATTAATATTTAACAAGAATTCGTATAAGCAATGCTTATCATTAAATCTGAATAGCTTTGTGTGTGTTTTCGTGTGTAAAAGGGACAGTGTGTGTCTGTGGACGTGTGTAGGATTGTGTGGGCTGGATGGTGTTTATATGGGCATGAACTGACTGCCTGCAACTTTGTCAAACTTTTGTATACACGATTTTGCTGCTACGTTTTCCTGTTTTTGTTGTCGTTCTCAATAATGTTGCTGTTGCTGTTGTTGTTGTTTGTAGCCTGCGGTTGCGTTGGCAACTTCGACGTCGACAACTGTGGACGGCTGCTCACTTGTATGTCGTTGTCGGTTTACGTTTTGCTCTTTTTTTTGTGAGTTTTATGCGGTTTTTGCAGCTAGCACGTATGTATATATGTCTGTTTGTGTATGTGTGTGTATGTGTGCGAGTGTGTGTGGGCGCTTGTATGTACGAAATCACTGAAACAAGTAGCATACTTTGGGGCCAAACAATTGTCAGTCCGCTAACTGTAGCAAACTCAAAAAACGCTGAAAAACACAACAGTGGCAACAACAACAGCAACGCACTAGAAAAAAACAAAACGATTCCCGTCTAACGACTGTGGACTGCCACAAACTGGAAATATGTATATATATACATATATATATATATATATGTAGAAGCATACTAACAGGCGCCACACATGGAGTAGTGTCAATGTTCGGCAATTGTGTCTACCATGCAATACAGTAGCAGAAATGGAGCTCGTTCTCTTAATCTACAAACATATTTTAGGCAGTTGCATAACTTTATACCCTATACCCATTTACATAAAAACGTTTAAGATGAGTATAGAAAATGTTGTAAATAATGCTTACAATTAAATTAATTATTCGACCAGATAAATGAGTAAAATATAAATAAAAATAATAACTACAAATGTCTTTGAGTTGTGATTTTATGTTATCATTTCCAGCGCTTCTCTTCTTGTGTTCAATTCTTCTTCTATTCAAAGTCTTAGATTCTATATAAAACAAGGCAGTAGACAATTTTCTTATAAACTGTTGCAGTCCTGTAAGCAGAGTATCTGCTAGACTACCATATGTTTTAGCATTTTTATGTGTTAAATATACATACATTTAACACAAAAAAAAAAACACCAGAAGAATTGCGTATTTTTCTTATAGTAATGTCAGAGTGGACCACTTTATTATACTGCTAATTTGTCATGCAGCTGCGAGTCGCGACATTTTATGCACTAAATAATACTAAAGTGCAACTAATTTGCAAAAATTTGTATTGCTGTCAGTTGCTGGATTCTACTATTACTTTGCTGGTGCTATTGTTGCTTACAACGACTGTATCCGTTGTCGTTTTTTTCGTAGCAAAGTCGTAATTTATATCCGCACGTGTTGCGCCAGGACGACAAGAAAAACGGAAGACAAATCTGTCATTGTGCGCCACGCTTGTGACTATTATTATTATTATTGTATTGTGTAATAAGAAAAGTATTTTTGCTTTTTTATTTTTTTTATTTGCTGTTACACTCTTTGCTGCTGCTGGAACAATACGACAGCTGTACTACAAAGAGACCCCCACAGCCCCGAAAGAGAGGACCCACCCACAACAGCCGCTCATTGTAATTGTTGTTCAAGGAACTTTTTCGTTTTCCGCTTTTTCCTTCTATTGCTGTTGCTATTGCTGCTGCTGCCAAGGTTCCTTTTCGTTTTCGGCTTTTTCGCTGCTTTTTCTTTTTCTTTTGTTTTGCTCAACGCTTTGTGTGAAGTGTCGTATTTTGCTTTCATAGCACCTGTCGAAATTACGCAAGTGTCACTTAAAACGGGTTACGGCAACAATAACACACAACAAGTGTAACAGCCAGCAACAACAGAAACAACATTGTTCTTGTCTTCAATCCTTTCAAGCACAATGGACCGGCTGGGGATGTTGTTGTTATTGCGGTGTTGATATTGTCATCGCGTTAGCTAATGTTATTTGCATTTCATTCGTCGCTTTATGTCAGCGCGCAGCTTTTGAATATCTCCACGCCAACGTGTCGTATACTTAATGGAATTTTTGTGATTTTTACCTTTTGACCCAGCTCTAACGAGCTGTTTTTTTTATTTACATTATTATTTTGCTGATGACAAAAAAACTAAATTCCAAATACGTTCCAAAAACTTTTTATACGTTTGCAGCTTTTTGTGCTGGCTTAAAAGTAAAAAAAAAAAAAGGAAAAACTTTGGCGCTTAATGAACTAGTTACCGCAACCGCTGACTCTGGGGTTACAGGTGCTAATTAATTTACATTAGCAAATTGCAAGCTATTAATTGACTTTTATTGGCATTTGTACTGCATTGCCAACAACAACAAGAGCGAAAACAAATATCCACTATGTACCTAATAGATATATATGCTAATGCAAAGTTACGCACTAATCACAATGGATTTTGAATGTGTCTTAATTAGAAAATCACCAGCGCCAGAGGGCAGAACTATGAAATTATTGCCAAATACAAAGATATGTATTTATGTAGAAGTTATATAAATAACAAAATATCGAAATATCGATCATTCAGTTGGATCACATGGGACAATGTCACAAAATGTTGTACATTTTGGAAAATAATAAATCGATATTTTAAAACATCGGACCTTTGAATAAAACCAAATTGTTATGGTTAAGGCTCAATCAAAAAATCATTTCAATGACAATATCTTGCCTACCTAAAGCAACAACACTGATACTCCTAGTATTTTAAACATTTTTTAAATAATAAAATTTTCTTATTTCAATTCGTGTAATGAAGCTTGAATTAGTTTCACATACTGTACAAATTCGAACAGGTTATCATTAATTTTCTATACAGCTTATGCGATTTTCTAATATTCAATTAATTGCACAAATAGCTTTGAGCCGTACAATACTTCACTAAACCCAATTTCATTGAGATAAACATATGTCAATCGAAAGCCTTTACAGAATCAGGCACAAACAATTCAAATAATTCAGAAGCCACAAAATGTATCCATGCCAACAGCCAAGTATTTGCGCAAATTTTGTAATTTTCATTTGGTAAAATAACGCTTTAATTGTGTTTACTTAGCATGCCTCGAGTTTGTTATTTACACTGTTGCTAGCAAGTGTTTGCCTGGCCTTTATTCAATTTATGCCTGGCATTGTGAATGCAACTGCTGAAATCAGCTATAAGGAGAGGGAGGATGATGGGATTGAATGCCCCCACACAATGCAATTTCCATGCCAAGTAGTTAAGAGACTTGGCACATTTGTCTACACAACTGGGGAACGATAATTTGAAGAGGCAAAAGCGAAATGCAAAGCAAAAGTAAAAGCAAAAGTCAGCAACACTCCAAGGATTAATTTAAGCGCGAAAAGTGAAAGCGCTGCCCGAGCTTTCCCCAGCATCAGCAGAGTCATAGTCAAAGGCAAGTTGTGCAAATTTATGTTATATATTTCGAAAGTTAAGTATTTGGCTTTGTGGCTTGGGACCTGCCAAATGAGAGCACGCAAATGATGTAAGCTAAGTCGGAGCGTCGGCGAATGCGAGAGACTTTAACCTGAAATTGAAATTATTAGCTGGACGCTGGACATCGTAGTGTCCATTTGACATGCCATAAATATAACCACCAGCCAGCGGCCAAATGGCGACAAAAGCTGGCCACAAGAAAATGCCGGACACGACTCTGCATGCACGTACCCCATGGGGCAAACACACACACACATACACACACACACATAAAAACTGATGTGTGTATATGTACACA